AATCTTGATTCGTATTGAAGCGAACGTTGGTCAATTCAATCACTAGGGCCGTAGCTGATGCGTTTAGAGATTGGGTGTTGCCAGCACGAAGACGCGACACTGCACAACGCGTTACGACCTTGTTTGATCACATCAGGGACTATTGGGATGTTAATTGGGATTTTTATCTTTCTAGTCACCTGGCCCGATGGTCAACGACGCTTGGCACAACGGCAAATGACTGATTGGAGAGCCAATTTAAAGTACTCGTTGAGCATTTGGATTGTGACGCGTATTCGCGAATTGACCAACGCCCGCTTCAGTGCAAATCGGGGTTGAGATTGAGACTGCGAGTCGCAATCCAATCACATGAGTATCCAAGAATGACCCTAAAATCAGTCATTCGACTACTTAGTTCCGAATCAGCTGAAAATGACTAGTCTTCGCGTTTCTAGTGATACTGAGCCAAGTGATTAGTGTAGCTACGATGTCTATATCCCCCTCGACAAACATATTAAAGTTATTCTAAAGGTCCATTGAGAACATGGGGCCGAAGACCGTAGCATGGCACGGGGAATACAAATACCCACGCACTGCGCGTGCAAATCCTCTATCCCAAGGGACTAGCACAATGGATGTGGACAGACAAGCGTAAGTTAGGCTAACCGACCGCTAAGACCATGAATGAGTGTGGACAGTGCGACAACGACAAGCGTGAACAGCAGCATGCGCGCGATTCGACTTAGACCTCTATTGGGGTTAATAAGCACCGTTAGAAGACAACATGCCTTTTAATCGCTTCTATCTAAGTCCCTACTAACTACACGACGGAGGGTATAAAAGACGATTACTCTCGTGAACTGTCAGCAATTCTTCGTAGGCGAGGATTATGAGATCGCAATTGTTGCAAACGATATGAATATACAAGTGGATCACTTTCCGGACTCTGGGAGGCCGCTTCGGGGTAAATACACGTCGAACAGGCAATGGTGATCGATTTGCGCAAGGCTGTGCCGATCACAATGGTTATATCAGCAACACCGCTATCCAGCACATATCTTCACATCGTGTCACCAAGCGCCCAACAAATTCCTCGTTGGCACGAACACAAAAACAAACTATCGCCAATGTAATCGGAGCTTCCGGTCTGCCCAACTCCTGAATGAATTCTGTTCGTTATCGACATGGCTTAGTTTAACGTTTCACTACTCATGTTCACCCTGTGTCCGAATTTTGCATCATTCCGGTCAGCGGCACCACCCCTGGTTGTACTGCGTTCTATCCTGTCTACCTTTCTACGATGTCCCGTTCCTCTGTGCACGTTTCACTTCCAATGACCTTGACAGTATCCACTCGCGCGTGGGCCCGTCCTTGTGTCGTGCTTTGCTGATTGACAGTTGAATTGGGTTCTGTCCCGCCCGCCTTACTACCGTCTTTCTGTGCATCTACCTCCAGTCACGTTTCACTTCAAAGGACCTTGACATCACACACTCACAGGTGTGTTGTGCACCTGGCAGGCGATGCGATCTTGGTCGGTGATCACATATTCGCATTGGTCAGGTTGCACGACCTGTCTGTACAGCTTTACATGTTTTCCTATGTCTGCGCGAGATCATTTGTTGTATTTTGGTTTACTGGTCGACTTGGGGATTCGATCCAGAGATTGCTGTTGTATTGAAGGAATTTATTGTGCAATTAAATTTGGGAACAATTTAGGTATTGCCTATTTTGCTATGATGACTTTGTTCAATAGCACCGTTAGCACGGTTCCGGTTCTTGCTGATTTACCGGCGGGACACGCGTTGCTTTAATTTCCAAGCGTTTTTGACGCTTACGGCCAATGTTACGAGACTGTCGGTTTGTATGGAGCACGTGTTTTGATTCCGATCACGCTCTAATGCGTCACTGTTAGCTGCCGTGCACATCTTCAAAGAGATCCAACGGACATTATATGAAACCCCTTGAGGCATAATGTCTCATTTCCACTGCCTCCAAACTTCGCACAGGATCATTGCTCGACGACGCGCTGATGTTCGTTAGACTGGAAATCAGGCTGTTTTCGCCTTGGATATCGAATCATCGATCACAAGTTTACTCTTCGTTAAATGTTAGAGCAGACACACACACAGACGACGACAATGCTGGTTTCCATTAATCTGGAAGCCGCCATCGACTGCGCTCATCATGGCAGCTCGAGGCATTGCTTATCCGTGAAGGGAGTCTCCCGAAAAGGCCTTTCCACCCTGAATTGTTGCAATCGTGTTTCCAGAGGACAAGTAAAGGTCTACCGAAAGCTGTCTCCCTAGTTATCCACAACAAGTGAGATTCACAATCCCCTACATGCGACACTGGTGGCACTTTCGCACCACATTTATCCGGAGGCCAAGTAAGTACAAATACTGATCAATCCGGTGTGAGCATTGCTTTGAGCCCCCGGGCTCAAGCTGCTCTGATCCATTAGATCGCAATCAAAAGCCGGATGTGAGCCGTCAGATTGGCTGTCTCGTTCAAAACTTTAAAATCATGCGGGAAAATAGGTGCCAGTTTATCAGCACTGCTAACGTTACCACAAACGATGGCGCCGACTCGGTGAAGGATGGTTTCTATCGAAAACTAAACGACCGCCTTCGCCACAGAAGCACAGATACTGCAGTACTGGCTGATGATATGAAGACGGCGTAGGATCACGTAGTGATAACGGTGAGTGAAGGTTACGTCTGTGTGCAGACACGCCTATTTCACGAAAGTACTAATTTTCGACACAGCACTCGCACGGGGTAACATGACGCCCACAAGCCTCAGATTAGTCATGAACGTAAATTGGTCACATCAGGACCGGGTACCGTTAAAGAGGTTGGTTCCAAAGATGTCAATCGACTCGGGGCACGGGTGTGGACTCGGACCATAAACTTGTAGGTGCTGTATGCGGATGCGTTTCAGCGGGGGCCCACACGACGATGTGAACACTTAGACAAACAAAGCCGGATGTTCTAACTACATATCAAAGTGTACCAGCATTCGAACTGAGTAACCGCTCACTGAAAATAATTGATGGCCACTGGTCACATGTTCAGTAGACGTTATAAGAAGCAGTTATATGTCCTTGTGTAGCGAATCCGATTGTCAGTATGCGCACCGGGTCTCTACGCAGTTTCTGGTACATCTCGATACTTGCTGACGTGAACGAGACTTGCAGACCTGAGGGCGAAATTGACTGCTAGCCTGATAACGTAACGTGAAACCTGGTGGTTCCATTGTGCATCGAGAATGGGAACGGCCGTTGCTCTTGGTAACCAAGGAAAACTGGCAACAAGAGTCAGATAATCTATTAGCGACGAGATTGGACAGCCTATCCATAACCTGCCAAAATTACCAGATACATTACCGGCTAGTGATGGCCTTATTCCTTTGAATCCGCTCTCATGCACAATAGTTGAACGTGACTGTTGGTATATGATGCCAAAGGGAAAATAGTTATGCAGAAGATTTAATAGATTTATTAGTGAAACAGGGGGAACAATAAGCTGTCCCAACCAACTGGAGCTGTTCCGTCGTAGTCGCGACTTAAAAGATTCATGTTCGGAATGAGGCAGTTATAAAGAGATGTGTCCGATCTCTGAGGCAACCCAAGTTACATGACCGTGTCTTCCTTCACAGAACGACTGGAACCTGTTAAAACCAGTTTCGTGAAGAGCAAGCCGGGTTTCGTTGAAAAGGAGAAAGCACAGACCGCATTTTCATTTCACGTCAGTTGTTGGAAGACCGCCATATTTATTGGCAACCCGCCGGAGTAGTGTTCCTCGACATGAAAGGTGCTTGCGATTTAGATGATCGATGAAATAGGTGAATGTCAGAGGAGTGCTTTGAGCGCAGGATAAGGGTTTATGGCAATCAGTTGCAGCCCCTCAATATCTCTAACGGTTTAAAACAAAATTGACCGCTGTTACCTATCCACTTTAACATTGCCAATGACAAAGTGAAGGATACTTCGTTCACTGTACACGAGCTACAAGAGCTGGAGTTGCTCCCAGGTGATCGATTTCTTAATTTGGAGTACGCCGATGACAATTCTCTCAACTCTGAGAGCTCGCAAACATGCCAAACAGCACAGAACAAACTAACAGTAGCTGTCAATCGTCTTAGGTTACGCTTAGCACCCTGCAAATGCAAGATCGCTCTCCAAGCTTGGCAAAGACCCATCTCTGCGCTAAACGTTGGTGGTGCTCAGTTAGAAGTTGTACAGAAACGCAAGTATTTAGTTAGTTATATTAGCGCACGTGGAACAAAGGATGAGGTATAGCAAAAGCACGAAGCGCTTTCCCCAATCTCCGCCACATGTTGCGCTGGCGCGACATCACTCTCGCCATGAAAGGTAGAGTTTACGACGGACTAGTTTAAGAGATGGATGGAATGTAGCAACCGATACTGCAGCGGTTAAAGCAACTGGCGCCACTGATGAGTTGAAATGCACCTGATGTCAATAACGATGTGTGCCTTTGTGTGTGTGAAGGCTAAGCGAATCAAGTTGTTGAAAGCAATGTGAATGTCATAAACGTCAGACCAGTTGGTCCAGCAGCATAATACATACGATGATACAGTGCTGGAACGCGGGAGAAAGATGAAACAGTCAAGCTGCTCCAACCGCTGATACACCGAGACTCGTGCGCATGCGAATTGAAATTGATCACATTCTACCAAGCGGGTTTATTCCATGTAGCATGAACAGAGTGGCGCAAAGCTCAACAAATTGACAAAAACTGACCCGGGTGATGACCACTGCTGGTTGATCCACTTCCCGAAGTGGAATGCAAGTGATCTCACCAAAGCGTGACTAAAATCTTCAGGGAACCAGGTAGCAATGATCGTCTGGTGTATTGTTACCGTACCTTTGGTGTGTGATCGAACTGGATGATCGTTAGTTTCGATTAGAGAACGCACTGCACAACGCATATTACATCCACGATTTGACCACAGAGATGGGAAGATTCGAACAAAGTGGAGGAAAACCAAGACAAACGTACTTCGATCGGTAGGGTGTGTGCACCACCTCCAGAAGACGGCGACCGATGTGGGTTATGCTGATAAAAACTCTGACTCACAGAGTCCGCTCCTCGCCCAAGTGATGCCTCTGAGTGGCCGTTCGTAAGGGAGTTGAAACGAGTTGAATTAGGATAGTTGTGATACCCAGAGCTGGTGGGACCCAGAACAGGCAATGTGGGAGGGTGGGCATATTCACCATTCTCGTGGATGACATCCACAGCGGCCACGACACCGGTACCAATGCCTCCTGCGAGGCTGCTGTTAGTGGTGGCGGCATGGTGTCTAGTCACACCGATAAGGTGGTCCAATGTCTTCATTGACGCGGCATCTTCGCTGCCACCGGATAAACTAATGCTAGCGGTATCGCCGGCACCCCGGGTGGCATTCGAAACAGCCGATTGCGACGCGATCAAAGGTGAAAAAAGCACAGCCGAAGTGGGAACTGTGTTGCCAACAGAAGTCTATGCAGACAAGAAAGGAATAAAGTGCGTTGAGATAATCTGGCAATATGGGCAAAAGATTCGCAGTTTGCAAAAAAAGAACCGAAAAGGAAAGACAGAACCAAATCAAGGGAGAAATTTAAATAGGAAGGCCGCAGACAGCGGGAGCGGAGTTTATTGAATCGTTACGACAAATCTACCTGATCGGTTCTCTAAGAAAAGATAAGGTAACCGTTCAACTATTGTTTCGCAAATCTTTGCGGATGCAGCTGAAGTGTCAAGTTTCGAGGGAAGTGTTAACCGTGTCGTCAACAGTAAAACCGTAATAACGGAACATGAGCATTTAGCACAGATCCTTCGCTGACTTACTAACATAACGATTAGGGTATGGGGTGGAGAAAAGAAACGGAGGGGGTGCACAACCTAAGCGTATGCGCTAACATTTCGCCTACAAGGCCTTCGTCAACAGGTCAGGATAAGACGTTAACAGAAAGTCGAGTTCGTTGAGATTTTCGATGAACTGTCACATGTGACCTCGATGGAAACACACGGCGAAAAGGCAAATGGGCTGGATTAAAGCGAAGGCGTCACTCGTGCCGGAGGCGAGAAAACACATGGTGGGTCATATGGACCTGGAATGAGTCAGGTGGAACGATAGCACACACCAAACATTATTGGTATACATTAGCCGAAGGTGAGAAACACACCAACTTTTGTATTGCAATATAAAATGGTACGAAGAAACAAGATACTAAACATTATAGTATACAAAAAACAAGTAACACACTGCTTGATAGCATATCATGCTTCAAGACTGAGATCTCAGCTGGAGGGGCAAAATAAGTGGGATGGGGAGTGACAAAGAAACTCAAAACACTAAAGCCACTGAGAACGGCTCCTTATCAGACCAACAAGTTTATGCAACCAAACGTGTTCAAAATCCTTCAGACCCAAACCTGGAGGTCGGGAAACACCAACCGACACCAAGTTCGAAGTAAGGAACTTTATTCCTCTTGACCAAGCCATCGGGACTATAACAGAGCGGCTTCAGTCTGTTGGGACAGTTTTCTGCTTTTACTGCTTCACGAGTAAGTTGTGCAAATCATCTATAAGAGCAGGTCCCCCGAATTCGAAGAGAGCTGGAGAAAAGCTGACTACTCTTGCGGCCGTATGCAAATTCAAAAGCCTGATCTCACGTTAAGCTTCTGCGAGTGAAGGCGGGTCCAGGGGGACGGCTCAGGGAGAAGAGCGACCATTGGCCGATGGAGTAGCTAGTAACTACTTGATTAAGCTGCTTTTCATAGTGTTCGGCCCAACGTTACAAGCGTTTTGACCATACGTGACGAGTATGGATGGCTAATTCTAGCCTATTCCAATACTATATTTCATGTATCGTTTCCAGCTGATCGCTTCGTGGATTAGTAGTTACATGTGTGCAGCGAATTCCCAAATTTGCGCGAAGCTGGGAAGAGAACTGGGTGTACGGACCTCTAATTATTTAGTGATCGAATTAGCTAGCATTCAGATAGCCGTCTATACTACCTTGCTCGTGGCTCGCTAGGTACAAGAGAACAAATAGGTCAGGTATATAAGTGCAAAAGGACGAATACGGTGTGACATACGCAGACTCAGAGGCAAAAGACATTTACTCACCAAATATGCTGCACAATGTATGAGTCAAATCTAACGATCACCAATGATAATACGATTGATGAAACAAGTGAAATAATTAACTACCTCTAATTCCGAATCGCCAAGGATTAAAGTCTGAATAACCTGTAAAAGAAAGTTAAGACCTGAAAAGGCGAAGTATTCGCCAAACAATGAAACTACACCGAATGGAGTATCCAGGGTTGACTATGCGGATTACTGTATTGGCAAACAGCGAGACGAGACCGTATGAAAAATTTAAACGAACCCCTTTACCACAGCGCGATGGTAATCTAGTGCTTGCATTATGGGACCCCACAAGGGAGAGTACAAAATTATTGTACGGAAATGGGGGAATGGTGCGACTCTGACGAATGTCAACTGCTATCCAAAAAACATCCAACAATTCACCTGAGACATTGAAATGACGTGTTGTATCGGAGCCAATGGTGTGTGAAATTATCACAATATCATTCTGAGCATGTATACCGAACAGAATGAGAAGAGTTGCTGAGTCGACCGCAGCTCTAAAAGCCAGGAACACTGAGATAATTGGCAGATGGTACGCATGGCACCACTGCAGTCCCTGGCTCCGAGTGAAGATGTGATGAAAGGGGCTCTGTCCTGGTCAAAAAGCAGTACACCCTCCGACAAGCAAAAATTTCCGTTCCACATTGACTTGGCGGAGTGGGGTAGAGATCAGTAAGTTCGTATTACTACTGGCATCAATCTGGAACCCCGCGATGTGGCCAAGCATCGCGACCACCCGAGTCGAGTATAGCCACAAAGATTGCTTAGTACCAAGTAGATGTGGCGGCGTCCTCCCGTCATATATAGCAGAACAGATGAGTTGATTCATTACAAAGGACTGCACCACCAGCCACGGAGCTCGAGAAAATCGGGGTCAGTGGAGCGAGAACGCAATCTGAAACTCAGATTCAGTTGGACCGGTAAGTTAACTGGTCAACGCTCGAACTGCACCCCCTCCCCACTCACATAGGGCTTCACAAATGGAGGAAAACTCAACTGTCCCGAAACTGCTTCGCCTAATAAGCCATAAGTGTTCAGTACTACAAAATATGGTAGGAGACTAGCGGGAACCGTGGTTACAAGGGTACAGGTAACTGAAAATCAATGGAGCCGCAGCCGGCCCGTAGCCTCAAGCATGCCAAACTTACCTTGTAATCTACAGACGAGGGGTCGAGCCTCAGAAGGAACCGGGCGACCCTCGCAGTATCCTTAGCTCACGTGCGATCAGTGGTGGTTGCGCGGCAGCGAAGCGTCGGTAATGCGTACCGGCGTACTGCTGATACACTCTCACCGAGGCTCCTCTACGCTACTGCACGCCACGCAACTGCGCACTGATGATGTCAACAAGATTGGTGACGAAACGTTTGCAACAAAATTGCCAAGCTCAGCGAACAGTTCAACTGCCAGCTGCTGCCTTTTTTGTGGAGCCGCAGCTGCCGACAACCACACTACCACTACACTACATGTTAGACAGTTTTACCATCTCATACATCTCGATCAGATGACTGTGGAGAAATGACCAAACGAAATGAAGAACAAATAGGCATAAGCCTTGTTTTAGTACTATGCATTGAGAACCAGATGTTTGGAAGAGGAGACCAAGCGTGAGAGGGACGAAGAAACACAGAACGCAAATACCACTGAGATCAGCTTTTGTTCACTTCACAAGTCTCTCTACGAAATGTGTTCATCGTCTTTCGGACCCCAACACGGAAGTCTAGAGGCTCCAACCGAAGTCGAATTTGTAGTGAGAGTTTCATCTCTCTCTTGACCGTTGTCATCGACTGGTCTCCGTCATCTTTCTCCATCCACATTCTAGTTCCGCAAACAACGCAAGTTGTTGAAATCGGTGTACCGGCATGTGTAACACAAGGCCGTCATCGGAACTTGGTGCGTGAATTGACTGTGTAGAACACGGTGCACTTACCCTTCTTGCGTAAAAAAATACAAAGCAGTAAACATGCGTACTCTTCACATTGCATTCCATCCGACAGGAGGTAAACTGGGAAGGAACCGGTGCTCGAACACAACTAGTCGTTTTACGGTTGCTCACATGATCAGCCAGGTAGTACAAGCGAGCACAGGTGGTGGCAATAGTAAACTTCCCCCTTTAGGGTATAAGAGTGATTTCGTGCAGGTCTCACAAACGACAAAGATTAGCAAGAGTACCACGAGGGTTTGTTACACGGTTTGTCACATCCTCTTTCCCACAGGCGCTGATGTAGCTGAGGATATAGTCGAAGTTTCGAAGGACTACTGGATGATTCCCACCAAGGGATAGGGAAAGTGTTGGGCGCTGTCAATACTCGAAGAAAGCTCTGCACTTTGATGGCACAAAACACAACGAATAACGACTGACAGCTAGTGCGAATCTGTACTATTTCGTAAACTGTCACAGATGATGGCAATAACGTCAGTGTATTATAACGCAGCTTTAAGTAAAAACAATCACACCGCAGACAACGGAAGGAAGGTTCGTAACGTGAATAAGAAAGATCGTAGAATGAATAGATAGAAGAAATGGCGGCAGGTGGTTGCAGTTAGATTTCACTTATCTGCTCTGGCAGATATGACAGATAAGATGACCCTTCTGCATAAAAAGAAGGGTACGGAAAGAATAAGGCTGGAGTCTGTTGGAAAAGTTGCGTTTGTATTAGAAATTGGATACTACAGTTAAACGTGTCTAAGGCGATCACTCAAGGGACCGATAACAAGCGGTCCCCATGGAAGGGGTTCAGGCATAGGGGGGCACAACTCAGCATCGATTGCATGTGTACACTACACTTTCAAGTGCGAACTAGATCTGTAAACAGACAACTTCTACACTCAGTTTTAGTCTTTTAATTAAAGCGATGACAGTAGTATTGTGTTGCGCAATTGTAATGTGGGATATGTGAGTAAATGAATATAATAAAGTTATAGTTTATGATGAAACATTTTAAAAAGGAACTTGCAAATCAGCGTAATCCGCAGTTTTTAGAAAAAGTATACACACACACACGCACACTTTTTTAGTGTCCGTATCGTTTTCCAGCAGAAAAAAATTAAGTCCGTTGAGTAGTAGTTGAAAGAGAATATGAATTTAGTTTTTCCCTCACGCTCATGATAAGTGCAAGCATGTCACTGCGTCCACAATTTATTACTTAGGAGCGCGAAATATCAACAGCACTCTGTGCGTCTGTGGATGTATACGCTTTCAGAACGTCTGTAGAATCCTGTTCCTGCTCGTCGTCTGACTCATTATTTTCAAATCTTCAGCTGTTGAATTTGATGTGGCAGACAGGTTCCAGCTTAGTTCTGTTGTGTTACAAGTTTTGAAATTACAGTCAGTTGGCATCAAA